TGTTACTACTACTACAACTACAACTACTGCTACTACTACTACTACTAATACTACTGCTACTACTACTACAACCACTACTACTACTACTACTGCTAATACTACTACTGCTACTAATACTACTACTCATACTACTACTATTACTACTACTGTTACTACTGTTACTACTACTACTACATTTACTACTAATACTGCCAATATAAATACTACAGCTATAACTAAAGTACAACACTCTGATAATAAAACACAGTATAGTGCAGTAACATGTGCAGCACTGATGCTTAACTGTTTTAATGTTAACTTCTCTGTTGCTATTTTATTATTAAAATACACACAGGTACAAGCGCACACACACACATACACATATACAGATACGCACACTAACCCACATACACGTACACACACACACACACACACACACACACACATACGTGCACAGACACACACACATACTTGCATAGACACACACATACATGCACAGACACACACATACGTGCACACACACACACATACTTGCACAGACACACACATACGTGCACAGACACACAGATAATGCACAGACACACACACACACACATACTTGCACAGACACACACATACGTGCACAGACACACACACATACACATACTTGCACAGACACACACATACGTGCACAGACACACACACACACACACACATACTTGCACAGACACACACATACGTGCACAGACACACACACACACACATACGTGCACAGACACACACACACACATACGGAAATATGGGCGGCACGGTGGCTGAGTGGTTAGCACTCTCGCCTCTCAGCAGGAAGGTCCTGGGTTCGAATCGGAACAGGGCCTTTCTGAGTGGAGTTTGCATGTTCTCCCCGTGTCTGCGTAGGTTTCCTCCGGGTGCTGCGGTTTCCCCTACCACTAAAACATGCACAATAGGTCTGAATGTAAATGAGAGAGTGAATGGATGGTGTTGGAGCTGATGGTCCAGTGTGTTCTGGACTCGCTTCTGTCATCACCGTGTGTGGAATGATTGGAACAATATCTGACTCTGAACATTGGAAAGAGCTTTGGGTCTGTACCTTGGTCTGTAACATGTGCTATATAAATAACATACTGACTTACAGTACATACATGCATAATTAGTTTCCCCTTGTTTCTGGCTCCATCCACAGCTACAGCCACAGGCACAGACCGACACAAACATGTATCTCCATCTGTCCCTGAGTCTATGAAGTCTATGAAGTCGATCTTGGGCAGAACTGTCTCCCAGCCACGTTTTGTTTTTAAAGCTGGGGTTCTTGACTTTCAAACCATAAAACTATGAATAATGAAAAAAAATCCATCTCATGATTTTCAAAACACCTGCTTCTGTCTGCAGTTTTCACCTCATGTATTTTAGCCTCTGTCACATCTGTAGAGCAGCTTCAGACAGAAAAGTGACAAAGAGAGGACCCCCGTCTGACGGCCAATCAGCTCTCAGCTCAAAGAGTCAAATAGTGACTCACAGGGATCTGACTTTCAAGTATATGAAGGATAATACTAGGAGTGATAAGATGCAGATTCAACCTCAGAAACTCTTCAGAAATATGGGTAATCTTCAGATTCTGGTCTCTCTCTGGTCTCTCTGGTTTCTCTGGTCTCTCTGGTCTCTCTCTGGTCTCTCTGGTCTCTCTCTGGTCTCTCTGGTCTCTCTCTGGTCTCTCCCTGGTCTCCCTCTGGTCTCTCTGGTCTCTCTCTGGTCTCTCTGGTCTCTCTCTGGTCTCTCTCTCTGGTCTCTCTCTGGTCTCTCTTTGTCTCTCTCTGGTCTCTCTCTTGTCTCCCTCTGGTCTCTCTCTTTGTCTCTCTCTGGTCTCTCTCTGGTCTCTCTCTTGTCCCTCTCTGGTCTCTCTCTGGTCTCTCTCTGGTCTCTCTCTTGTCGCTCTCTGGTCTCTCTCTGGTCTCTCTCTTGTCGCTCTCTGGTCTCTCTTTGGTCTCTTTCTGGTCTCTCTCTGGTCTCTCTCTTGTCCATCTCTGGTATGCCAAAGATTACATGTTTTGTAAGGAGATGAATACAGATTCTTTCTCTTGGGAGAGAGAGGAGAGACGGGGAGAGCGGGGAGGCAGAGAGAGAGAGGGAGAGAGGGAGAGAGGAGATAGAGGAGAGGGAGGCATCCGGGAAATATTTACAAACACGGCACTTTATCGTTTCTTTGGTGGACACAGATATCAGCAGAAAAACCGGAAGGAAACGGAGCCAAGAATCTGAGAGAGCAGAGTTTTTGGTTGGTCAGCGTTTGGGATTCCATGTTTTAGTTTTAGTCAAATATGTGTGGATGGATAAAGAGAGAGAGCCTAAAGACGCCAACTTCCAGAATAGTGCCCAGATAGTTCCCCTTTGTCTGTGTAGAGAGAGCAGAGAGAAACCTGTGAGAGAGACTGGAGTGAGGCCAGAGAAAGAGAGAGCAACCAGAGCAAAAGAGAGACCAGAGAGAGACCAGAGAGAGACCAGAGAGAGACCAGAGAGAGACCAGAGAGAGACCAGAGAGAGACCAGAGAGAGACCAGAGAGAGACCAGAGAAAGACCAGAGAGAGATCAGAGAGAGACCAGAAAGAGATTGGAGAGGGACCAGAAAGTGACCAGAGAGAGACCAGAGAGAGAGACCAGAGAGAGACCAGAGCGAGACCAGAGAGAGACCAGAGCGAGACCAGAGCGAGACCAGAGAGAGACCAGAGCGAGACCAGAGAGAGACCAGAGAGAGACCAGAGAGAGACCAGAGAGAGACCAGAGAGAGACCAGAGCGAGACCAGAGAGAGACCAGAGAGAGACCAGAGAGAGATCAGAGAGAGACCAGAGAGAGACCAGAGAGAGACCAGAGAGAGACCAGAGAGAGACCAGAGAGAGACCAGAGAGAGACCAGAGAGGCAGTGGTCACCTGTTGATGCTCTTGGTCTGGACCAGAGCTGGAGGATATTATTCACTGTTCATGTCTTTGGAGGAAACCGGAGCACCCACAGGAAACCTTCCCAGACAAGGGAAGAACATGCAAACTCCACTCAGACCCTGGTCCGACCGGGATTCGAACCCAGGACCACTGCAGCCAATGGAAAACACAACAGTCAGGCGCTGTGTGTGACCTTGGTGATATAAATAAAAACGTCTTATTTCTTAGAATAAATCCAGCTGTATCTAGTTGTCACCTGGTCATACCATCGAGCACATACCATCATTTTAGTTTTTTTTAAACCGTTTGGACTAATTCACACTCAAAAGATCCTGACATATAGTAACACAGACCAGGAAGTGTGTGTGTGTGTGTGTGTGTGTGTGTCTCTGTGTGTGTGTGTGTGTGTGTGCGTGTGTGTGCCCACCTCACCTCCCCCCCTCCCCCCTCTCCTTCTTCCTTCCATCTTGAATCTCTCCCCCCTCTCTCCTCCTCCCCCACCTCCCCCTTCTCCTCCCTGCTCTGCTGCTCTGCTGGAGCCCAAATCACAGCTCCGCTCTCTGGCAGATGGAGGATAGGAGAGAGGAGTCCTTAACTAGCCATCCTGCGCCTCTGCTGCCTGCTCGCCAACTGCTGCCCACCCCCCCAGCCTCACCCCCCGCCTCACCCTCCCTCACCCCCCCCCCCCCCCCCCCCCTCACCCACCACCCACCTCCGCTGGGGACCGGCTCGCATCCTCCAGGGGACTGCATATTAGTCCGGAACTGGCCACAGTATAAAAAGGACAAGGGGAAACATAATAGATGGAGGTGGTTTATGGTGATGTTATGGGGGGGAGGGGGGGCTTGGGGGGGGGGGAGGGGGGGCTCGGGGGGGGGGCTCGGTCTGCACATGCCGGTGTCAGGCCTCGTCAAACGGGACCAGACTTCAGTGGAAAAGGCAGATAAAAAAGCGACGAGGCGATAGGTGCGAGCGGATTGTGGAATGAGGGGAAGTTGTACAACAATGGACCAGCTTTTGATTTGGTTCCAGCGACTGCAGAACTGGTAAAAGTACGACTATGGAAGGGCCAGAGAGAGAGACCAGAGGGAGATACCAGAGAGAGAGACCAGAGGGAGATACCAGAGAGAGAGACCAGAGGGAGATACCAGAGAGAGAGACCAGAGGGAGAGAGACCAGAGAGAGAGAGACCAGAGAGACCAGAGGGAGAGAGACCAGAGAGACCAGAGAGAGAGAGACCAGAGAGAGAGACCAGAGGGAGAGAGACCAGAGAGACCAGAGGGAGAGAGACCAGAGAGAGAGAGACCAGAGGGAGATACCAGAGAGAGAGACCAGAGGGAGATACCAGAGAGAGAGACCAGAGGGAGAGAGACCAGAGAGAGAGAGACCAGAGAGACCAGAGAGAGAGACCAGAGAGACCAGAGAGAGAGAGACCAGAGAGAGAGACCAGAGGGAGAGAGACCAGAGAGAGAGAGAGAGACCAGAGAGACCAGAGAGAGAGACCAGGGAGAGAGACCAGAGAGAGAGAGACCAAGAGAGAGACCAGAGGGAGAGAGACCAGAGAGAGAGAGACCAGAAGGAGAGAGACCAGAGAGAGAGACCAGAGGGAGAGACCAGAGAGAGAGACCAGAAGGAGAGAGACCAGAGAGAGAGACCAGAGAGAGAGAGACCAGAAGGAGAGAGACCAGAGAGAGAGACCAGAGGGAGAGACCAGAGAGAGAGACCAGAGAGAGACCAGAGAGAGAGACCAGAGAGAGAGACCAGAGGGAGAGAGACCAGAGAGAGAGACCAGAGGGAGAGACCAGAGAGAGAGACCAGAGAGAGACCAGAGAGAGAGAGACCAGAGAGAGAGACCAGAGAGAGACCAGAGGG